ATATACTTTTTATCCCACTAACGGTCCTTATCTCTTTTTCCCCTAGCTCACAATTCTGTTGACAACTCATGCTCAGACTCAAATCATCATTCAAATCATAATTACAGCATAATTCTGAGCTCTCTTTGTACATGCTAATTCCACAACCAACAGATGTAAAAGCCACACAGAAATTCCTATAGAGTATTATTAGCTTGCAAGGAGCAGAATTAAGATGCATAAAAGTATCTTCTATAGCAAGCAAATATTTTGGTTTTAATTACATTATTACCTTGTTTTCTGCCACTAATTACTACAATTTATTGTATAATTGACTCCTAGAGAAAAATATTATCAGAGCAGTTCTGAAGTTTTAAACTGAAAATAGTGTATATAAGAATAATTTTGCTCAAGCACTCCGTTCCCTTAAAAATGGAATGTGAAATATTGTTTGTAATAGGTTTGATATAAATCTCTTTCCTGTTCTTCCACTAATATATAAAGTTATCATATAGTACACTTATTGGCTGATTTATTTCTCTATAAATCACAGGGCAATAAAAACATCTGTATCCTCAAGCTGGGGACAATATATTATCTAGCACCTGGCTCAGCATTTGAAAACTAGTAGGTGCTCAATAAAGTTCATTAAATAAATTAAAGAATTAATCATTTGAAGGGCTCTTTTAACTTGGCACCATGAAAGTACCATTGGTGAATGCTCACCAGTATCTATTTCAGCCTTTACAGATTAAAAAACTGCAGCTTTTAGAGCAAAAGACTGAGCGTTAGAAATAATAACAGTTTGCCGCAGATTAAAAACAAATGAGCTCATTCGGAGACTCAGCAGGCATTCATAAGCCACTTGAGCTGCCTGCCCTGTCAGTTTATGACCTCAGTCAAGTCTTTCCCGTGAAATAAAGCCTGTGTTAGCTCTGGGGCCATCTATTGTTCTCTTCAATTTGTGCCGAATTTTAAGTTATAAAGACTTGCTGACCAGAATTCATTCACACTTAGGTATCTTTTTTTTTGTAATTATTAACTATAAGACCGGAGACTGGCATTTACTTGTTTCATAATAACCTAATCAAGCATACCTTTGAGCACAGGATGTTCTTCAGATGCCATGATTTGTTATGTCCTCCTTGGTCACTAAACAGTCAGCGTTGTCAAATTCCACTAGGCCTACCTCACTCTCCTAGGAGTAGTAGCCCGTGATAAAAAGTGACGTGATTTCTTACATGAAACTATATATGCTTGAGGTTCTTTTTCAGATTAAAAAAAAATCTCTGATAAATTATATGGCAAATGGCAACGAAATGAGTGAAAACAGGCATGGTTACATACATAAATTTCTCCTGCCCAACATTTCTAAGGCTATTTCCATCTTATTGCTGTCCTTTTTGTTTAATTTCTCCTGAACTAATGTGCCCTCTAATGGTTAAAATAAAAATATAATCACAAAGTCAGTGCAAGCACATTAGTTGCAAGGAATATTTCTATGTAAAAGATAGTTCTTTGACTCCAACCTATGCCGTCAGGATTAGCAAGAGTATTCTTTAAATAAATTAAATAAACATACAAGAAGAGGTAGAAGCATTTTGTCAGTACAAAGGACAGTGCAAATGAGGTGCAGCAAATGGAACTTCAAGTAGATTTTAAGTGTTAGTTTCTAAAAAAGAGCATCAAATATTTGTTATAATATCTACAATTGTAAGTCTTGCATATGCTGTTTTTGGAATGTAAATTAGTGATGTACCTGTTGTAATACTGTAATTTACACTTTAATGTCAGAAAGATTTTACTCCAAAGGCAGATTATTTTGATTCTTCTTTTATTGTTATTTCTTTTTTAAATTTTATTTAAGGTTTAAAAATTTCATATATTTCATGTATACGGATTTAGGAACATATTGTTATTTCTTTAACTTGATATGAATGTGTGTCCCTACTACCTCCAAAAACTATAAATATATGTCCATAAGAAGTTGAATAGATACGCGCTCACGTGCACAATTTATCTTCAGTGTTTATCTCTCTTATTTTTGGTTTCAATGTAATATCAGAAAATAATGGAGTTTAGGTAATAACCTAGTTAATGTGACCAAAACAATTACCTGTCAAGGTAAGACAGGGATACAGGGAGAAATTTTTGAGTGGTTTAGCTTCACTTACTAAGCTCAGGAAAGTTATTATAGTTTTATAACACAATTTATTTCTAAGAAGAATAGGGCGAAGATAGAAAAACAAATATAGAGAAAATATATTTAATTCTGTCTAGAAGAATAGAATTAAAATCAGAGATATAAACAGAGAGTATCACACTTAAAGACCTACTTTTTGTTTAACCATTACCATGAGTACCTCCAACAATTTGCTGCTTATCAAAATGTAATAGTATGTCCATACCATGGAATTTTTAAGTCCCTTCTAATTATTGATGCCTTTTTTTTTTAATTCAAAAAGCACAACTTTTTCCTGCCTCAGAAAGCAATGACATTATTTTTCCTGTTATATATTTGGGCTGATGTCATTAAGGTGAACTGATCTGCCAAACATTGCACAAAGCCAATGACAGAAGCAAGACTAGAATTTGGAAATATTTATGCAGTTTGCAGATTTCGTCTGGTGCTTTGTGTGCATCACAAGGCTGCGTAGTTTTATTAGAGGGGAAAAAATCACATTTTACTGAATTAAATTTCTGCCTTTATCTTTCAACACTAGTTTTACAGATGTACAGACTGTATTATATATGATACCAACTTTTTAAGAGAAAACAAAAATGTTGAAAGGGCTACAGGCTGCTGGATGAGAAACTGGATTCTTGTTCTGTTTGTGCCACCAAGAGACTTGAAGCAAGGTATAGAAGATTCTGATTCTCAATAATTCACATGACAAAGGGGGGAACTGAATTAGGAAATCACTGAGCACATTGTTAGCTTAAAATTGGAAGTGTTCTTTATAATAGTACAAGCAGGGAAAATATGTGCACATTTCATAATCTGAATTTACACAGTGTTATTTTGGTTTTGTAAGATAATATAATTGTTTTAGATTTCATCATTGTACTTGATCATTTTTCAAAAATACATGATAATATTCAAACATTTTGGGATGGTATGGGATATCTGGGGAAAGTACTTTTAAACTATAACCCCTGAAAATTAATGTGATTCCTGCTGTCATTTGCCATTGCTTACATTGATTTGATTAAGTGTTTATCTTTTGTTTTGTCTTGCTTTTTGGTACATGTTCTTACTTCAGTACTTTGAAGGCAAGAATTATTTTCTCCATATTGGCTTCCCACTGGTGGGTGAAAGGTTCCTCAATAAGATTAACCAACATAATCAAGATAGGATTTTCTGGTTTAATGAATCAAACACAACTAAGATCCAGGTGAGTGAATTATCTATACGAGAAGTGAGTGAGTGTGTTCTCACATCCTTAAAGGAAAACACAGGTACAACATGCCAGAGTTATAAAGTATATATAATAATCTATACAGTGGTGAATGGTTGAAAACAGATGTGCCTTTGCGATAAGGATAAAAATCGCTCTCTAAAAAATCAACACAACTCACATTAGATAGAACTAGAACTGGCAGTATATTTTTCCTAGTTTTTGTAGCCCATAATTTCCCACAATGAAGAGAGCTGCAGATCAAGTAATAATCAGCCAAATGGAACTTCCGTGATTTCTCAGCCGAGCATCAGCCTAGCAGAAGCTCTCTTGAGGTCTCCAGTACTTCAATGGTATCCAGGATTGGAGACTGCCTCAGTGCGTTGCCTAGAAAACATCTATTTATGTCTGCTTCCAGCATCCCCCTTTCATTCCATTATTTCCTGAAAGCAAGAAGAACTCTTTCCCTTCTACCAACAAACACTGAAGCCAAGGTTGTAAATATAGTTCATAGGTTGATTAGATCAAACCAATGATCAGGAATCTCCGTTCCTTTACTCCTCACTTCAATCAGATGCTCCTTTGATCATTGCCTGCCCATCTGGACTCACCACGTGGCTAGGCTGGTATTCCTGCTCCCTTAACCCCACAGGTAAGAGTCACTCGTCAGCAAGCACACTGAGGCTCATCCGTAAATATAGCCTAATCCTTTCATTTATCTTATCTCTTCTCTAATCATCTACTTCATAACTTCTTACTGGCCTCCAATTCTTTAGGGCCCCTAGGATTGCAAACCCTTGAGATATAGTCAGCCCTTCAATTATTTCTGCCATTTGAGAATTGCCTCTACCAATATCAATGAAGTCAGAATAAGGTACCAATTCAGATGTGGACTCTGGAGCCCAAATACCTGGGTTTGAATTCCAAATCTTTGAGATCACAGACAACTAAACCTCAGTAAGCCTCCATTGCTTGTGGTTGCGGCTGGGGGGGAGGGGGAGGGGGGACGGCAGGGAAGTGGCTAGCAACCTCACAGAGTTGTCCTAAAGACTGATCATGTTTCTACAAATAAAATGCTCAGAATAATGTCCAGCACAAAATAAGTGATCAAAAGAAATAGTAGCTGTTATTAGAATGGCCATTTAATGTTTATTCCCTTCAGTCATAACGACAGAACACTAAAAGAGCATTTAAATTAATTTTAATGACTCAACCATCTGGCAATCTTAGTTTCTATTTTTTATAATCAAGGTGCTCATAAATCCTAGTTTCCCAGTTTATAATTGTTGTCTTGGGATGATTATTAGGGGCAATCCATTCGATTCTCAAAAGTGCCCAGGACTAGACAATAAAACATGTAATCGTTCTAATTATAAAATACAGTACTTGGTTGTTCTCCTGCACAATTAGGAGAATGAATTAGCTGGCCTCTCAAATTGGGTAAAACATGAAGATTTTTTCTGAAAATTTTTGGAAAGAAATTTGTGAAAATGTTTGGAATGAAATATTTGGGTTCGTCTTTAAAAAGAAAGTGTAAGAGTTTATAAAGTACTACTATTTTTGGTTAAGATGACATAATTTGGTGGATTTTTAAATTTGCAAACAAATTGAATGTGAACTTACATGTATGTTGATTGCTCCTTTTATTTCACTTGTTCAAAATCCTGGGAATCTCTTTGTAACTATTCCCTCACCCATTGCATTCTTCTCTCCTCTTCCCCACTTGCTTCGTTTTCTCTTCTCTGCTAGACTTGAGGCAGGGTACGGAGTAGGCAAGAAGAGAGGAAGTACCCCTCCCCTCCCTTAAACTCAGCCTATGCCATGAAAAATCAAAGTTCCCAGAAAAGCTGGCCGGTCTCCAATCCAAGCCCAGTGAATAACCACTCTTAAACAAACATTAACAAAACTTCTCAACTACAGGGAACAAAAAAATACTTGTAGATTTTGCAAGAGTCTTCTGTCACTGCATGAAATCCACAGAATTGGAATATCAAATCTGAGAAGTAATAACATTTTCACTTAGTTCATTACTAAACATTTAAAAATACTTATAGCCAGAAATAGCTTTTGAAGGATGACAGAATTTTTTAAAAGATTAAATTAAATATAGTGCAGGAAATTTTGTTTCCTTCAGACTGTTTCTGCAATTTGAATATTGTACTACTACTCTGTTTATGCCCATCTTTGAATGAGTCACACTGTTTTATTATAAATCATTGATTGGTAAAACTTGTAAAATTTAAACCAAGCACACATCGCTTATAAAGCATATGGCACAATCAATACTGCTTACTTTAAAAGCTGATTGATTATAGAAATACAGTTCACAATTATGAAAAAATAGAGATTTTTATATACCTCAGTAGACACGTGAAATTTAATCTTAAATATGAATCACACTCTAATTACTTGATTCTTGCAATGAGCTGAAGGGAGAAAAAAAAAGCAAAAAACAAGGATCCTGCAGAGAATGAGAAACTGTGAAAGCAATCATAGAGGGAAATAATTGTTACATTTACGATTCTTTCAATTATGGATTATGGAGACGACTGCACTGCAACCTCTCCAGTTTCAAGACAGCATGATGTTTTGTATAATAAGCCTCTGAATAAAGCAAGTATTATCAATAGTGTGAGCAACTTAATTGGCTACCTTTGAAGCTAAGGAGATGTTTTTGCTTTCCAGCTTTGATTTCAGCTATCTTTTAAAACATTGGCATTCTGTCCAGCTGTTCGAACTCCATTTATGTTCATAGCTCCTCTGGAGGATATTGCATATACATTTTACTAGAGCCGAGCAGCATTTTCACAAGGGAGGAATAAACCTTACAGTAAGTTCAGAAACTGTTAAGCATCCGTAAGTTTGTGTTTATCCAACAACATGCCTACGCTGCACCTCTACCCTATTATAATTATATTTAACATTAAAAAGCAACATCACTTCATACCACAAGTAGAATTTATTCTGTCCTCAAACACAGTTAGCCTTTACTGAAACCTGGCCCATTTACCAGAAATAGTATAAAGAAGATGCTTTCTCTGTTTAAAGATGTACCTAGAAGACTTGCCTTAAAAGGCTTTGGTCTATGAAGGCTGCTGGTTTCAAAGGCATGTACCCCCCAAAGAAATGGCAGCCAGTGAGGATGACAACTTGAGAAATGACAGTTTCACTGCCTGGGTTTGGAGTAACCAGAATGAAGAGTATTACAAACGTAATACTGTAGAGAGGGAAAAAAGGAAAGTGAAAATCTGTTCCTCATGATTAAAAGGAGAGATCAAGAATTCTAATTTCATAAATATCTTAGGAGATAAAATTTAGGGGAAGGAGACACTCATTTCAAGCTTATTTCAGTTACCTACCCATTTGATCTTCCTCCAGTGACATCTCAGCTATAATAAGACAACATTCTTTTTAATTCGTACCATACAAAATAAAGGGCTTTCTTTATGTTTGTTAAGTGTCTTTCAAACAGTCATACTGTAACAAAAGGTGGATTATTAGGGACAATGTTTAAAGAGCAATACATTAATTCACAGAATCGAGTTTTACACAGTGATATTACCATGAGTAGGTTAGTGTTTTCACTGGTTTCACCAAGACAATTTCTGGTTTTGCTGGATGATTAGTGCTTATCTGAAACCATTCAGAAGAAAGTAACTGCAGTTCTGGGCAATAAGGTTCTAATCACAGTTCCATGTACTCACTCCCTGCAAAGGAGTCATTCTGCCCCTCAGACAGCTCCTTCTGCTGCCCTACACCCCACTGGTCCTGAACAAAGGCATGTTATAACTTCAAAGATGGTAAAAGTTCCCAAAATACCTCCAACAAATTCCAATATTGACAAATACCCACCTTTGTGGCTTTTTCTGTACCTCAAAGGATTGATTCCAGAAAGCCATTATTAAAATACAAACATGTTATTGGAAGGCTTGACACTATTGTCTGACACCAACTTTGTAATTTCATAAACTCTTTCTTACAAAGGGCATTGAAAAATGTGGTTAGTTTTCATTCATTCAGACACACATCATCAATCAACCACAGCCAAGAAAATTGCTAGGAATTAGCAATCAAGGCAAGTTTTAAAATGTCCTTACTTTCAGGGTTTACCAGCTGGTGGGGAGGATATACAGATGAGGAGTCTTCAATAAGTTCATGGAAATCCTTATATGAAAACACTGTGCATGGATCTCTCAAATGTTTTTGGAACCAAAATAAACTTATTACTTCATTTTCAAGTACTGCTACAAATACAAATAGTTTTATTACATGTAATAGATTAGTTTTAATAACTAAATGCTTTGATAACAAAAAACTGAAACTCATCTGAGTCACTTAAAGGAGATATTAGCCTAAAGAGTTGAGTAAAAAGCAATTGCAAGCTCAAGAGGGACTCAAACAACAATAGATAAGCCAACAGAAACCAAGATGATGTCTCTCTTACTCTTCTCTTTCTCAGGCTCCTAAGCATCTCTCACATAAGCTTTTTCCTGCATACTACTCCATTTTCTCTAGATCTGCTCTTTTGGCTTGTACTCATGCCCATATCATAAGACCTTAAGACCTTACTCATTCAATCCCCATAGCCAACTAACTCACTTTCCCCATATCTCCAACTCAATTCCTGGGAACAGGAATCTGACTTCATCCACTCCTAATCTAAAAACAAGATTTTTCTTAAAAGAAAGTGTGATGAGGAAGAGAAAATAATTGCCCTCCAGTACAGTAAGGTTATTTCAAGATAAGACTAGATGGAAAGGTAGGCATCTTCCAGAGAAACAAATGGAAAATGGGAGTCCATATAGATAGAATGTCATGTTTAAAAGTACAGAAGGAGCAAAGCAGCCCAAACAAAGATCCATGGATAGAGATCCATGCTTAGAAAGCAATTATAAAGCTGGGAAGATGGCCAGAAACCAAATGGAAAACTCCTTTTTATACTCTGCTGAGGAGTGTAACTTTTATCCAATAGCTGACAGAGATGAGTATCAAAATTTTTAAGCAGAGGTTAGATAAAAGCAGACATGTGTTTTAGAAAGAAAAATCTAACAGCAGGGTAAAGGATGGACTACAAGGAGACTAGACTGAACATACCACTCAAAAAATCACTTCAGTGATTCAGACATGAGATGCTGCAGATTCAAAATAAGACCATAGGGAAGAAGGATTCAAGAATATTACGAAAATAGAGTGAGGTCAGTTTAGAAAAGGAAAGAAGCTAAAGAGTTTTTTTCTAGTTTTTTTTTTTTAATTTTTTTAAGATTTTATTTATTTATTTCGGAAGCAGAGCCACAGAGAGAGAGAGAGAGACAGAGAGAAAGGTCTTCCATCTGCTGGTTCACTCCTCAAATAGCCACAACAGTAAGAACTGCGCTGATCTGAAGCCAGAAGCCAGGAGCTTCTTCTGGGTCTCCCACACAGGTACAGGGGTCCAAGAGGTTGGGTCATCTTCTACTGCTTTCCCAGGCCACAGCAGAGAGCTGTATCAGAAGAGCAGCCTCACCCGGATCTTCCACATGGGGGCAGGGGCCCAAGCACTTGGGCCATCCTTTACTGTTTTCTCAGGACATAAGTAGAGAGCTGGTTTAGAAGAGGAGCAGCCTGGACACAAACCAGCTCCCGTATGGAATGCTGGTGCCTCAGGTGGACAATTAGCCTACTGTGCCATGGCACGGTCCCTAAATTTAATGCTTAAAGTTCTATTTGCAAGTAATCCCAAAGGCCTACAAATACACTTTATTTTATTTTTCAATTCTATTTGAAAATCAGAGAGTGAGATCTTTCATTTGCTTGTTCATTCCTCAACTGTATGCAACAGCCAGGGCTGGGCCAGACTGAATCCAGGAGCTGGGAAGTCAACTCAGATTTCCCATGTGGGTGACAGAGATCTGACTGTTTGAGTCATTGCCTTCTGCCTCCTGGCATGCAAATCAGAAGGAAATAGGAGTTGGAAGCAGAGCTTGACTTGAATCCAGGCATTTCAAGAGACATGTTAACTGCTGTACCCAATGGCTGCTCCATGGACACATTTTAGGATGTGTCATGGCATGTGTCAGACTGATGTACCTTGTGTGACTGGACAAGGGAACCAGTAAGGGGCCCTGCTGGCTGGCTGTGTGCACTTGACTTCCCATTTTCTTTTTTTCTAAAAATTTTTTTTTATTTTTTATTTTTTATTTTTTTAAACTTTTATTTAATGAATATAAATTTCCAAAGTACGACTTATGGATTACAATGGCTTCCCCCTCATACCGTCCTTCCCACCCACAACCCTCCCCTTTCCCACTCCCTCTCCCCTTCCATTCACATCAAGATTCATTTTCGATTATCTTAATATACAGAAGATCAGCTTAGTATACATCAAGTATGGATTTCAACAGTTTGCTCCCACACAGAAACATAAAGTGAAAAATAATAGATGATTTTTTTTAAATGATGATGAAATCAGAGCAGACCTATTGTCATGTTTAATCCCAGTGAGAGTCAAGTTGGGAATTGATAATTTCTTTTTTTTTTTTTTACAGAGGATCAGTTTAGTATGCATTAAGTAAGGATTTCAACAGTTTGCACCCCCATAGAAACACAAAGTGAAATATATTGTTTGAGTACTCGTTATAGCATTAAATCTCAATGTACAGCACATTAAGGATAGAGATCCTACACGAGGAGTAAGTGCACAGTGACTCCTATTGTTGACTTTACCAATTGACACTCCTGTCTATGGCATCAGTAATCTCCCCATGCTCCAGTCATGAGTTTCCAAGGCTATGGAAGCCCTCTGAGTTCTCCGACTCTTATCTTGTTTAGACAAGGTCATAGTCAAAGTGGAGGTTCTCTCCTCCCTTCAGAGAAAGGTACCTCCTTCTTTGATGACCTGTTCTTTCCACTG